TGTCTCTGAGCTGCAGACCGTGCACCGCCATCTCCTTGGGGCAGGCTGTGCTCGCATCATATCAGCCCTCTCCGAGCTTCAACCCTCTTCACAGGATTCTTCTCCAGGACTGTGGCCTGGCCCCATATGGGCTGCAGTACTCAGCCTTCCTCTTCCCCTCCCAGGTCCATCAGAAGGCAAGGGCCTTTGCCAGGCCCTTAGCAGGGAGATAGCCCCATCTGTATGTCAACTGGTTCTTGCTTTGTGTCATCAGGGCCAATGGCAATGAGGAGCTGGCAATTCCTTCCTTCTCGTCTGCCTCTTACTGACTCTTGGAAGATGGGACACAGGCTTAGTTATGACAGGTGCCCTGGCCACCCGTGCTGATGCAGCAACTCATTGGAGGCCAGAGAATCCACCCAGTTTACTGCTCATGGGCCTTCTAAGTCTCATCACTGAGGGCATCTTTCTTGCCTCACCCAGCATCCGCCCCTTTTTTACTCTGTTTGTTTTGTTTGTTTCTTGCCCTGAAAAATCCCACCCCTACCCCAACTGATCCTGCCCGCTTGCTCGTATCCCTCCAGGCAGACTCTAGATGCCCAAGAAGACTCTGGTGTCACTGGATTCCTGGCAAGACCATGCTGTAGGAGGGGTGGCTAGATCTTTCTGTGATGCAGCTACTGATGACCATTATGTGGCCGGTAGCCTCCTTCTTTTGCTAGCTGCAGTGTATATAAAGAAGCCTCTGGAGTTGTTTGGTCACTCTGACGCAGGCCGTGTGGGAGGGGAGGATGAGGGTGTGGGTCTTCGTTTTCATAGACTGGCTTTCCAAACAGGTTTCCTAGCATCTTAGGTGAGTCACGGATTTTTAAAGGGCGACCACAGATTTATGGGTTTAAACTTGTTATGTTCCAGTTCATTAAACACACCCTGCTGATAGCCAAACGTTCCCTTCTTTATACAGTGCAGCCCATCTGGGCCATGCCTGAGTCAGTCCCCATGAGCATTGCTTTGATATCTTTGTGGCCACTGGGTTCTCTAGCACAGAAAGACCTTCCAGGTTCATCTTATTCATCCCTCCTCCTTCCATCCAAGGCTGCCTTTTAGAAGAGTTTCTCTCGCTCCGTAAGCAATTCGGTGTTCAGAGACCAATGTGTGGACTTTAGGAAAACTTGTCGCTGTTCAGTTAAACCTCTGTGTCGAGGCTTTGTCAGTGGACAGAGCTAAGAAATATTTTGATTATTTTTAAGGCGAGATAAGTATAAACAGACACTTTTGGTTAAATTCAGTTCCATACTATGTCTACTTAATCTCAATCATGATCGCTGCACCCCAATACGCAGTAGTAGTCAGTCATTCAATTCCCCATCCTCAGACACACAGCACTAGCTGGCAGGGCCAGTGCCAGCCATGGTTGCTGAAAACAGTGCAGAATTGTGTAATATTTTTACAGTTTTTGGATTGTATTTATATATAGGCAAAACAGCATTTTAAAAAAAATTGGAAATGATTAATAAAAACAATGTTTTTGGTCCTTTTTGCTAGCAGGTTGAAATGACTGGATTTCATAATCACTTGTAAGAGTGGGCAGGTTGTGTTATCCACTGATAATACAGGTCAGCTAGTGTTGTTTTTCTGTCGCTGTTAAGAATTCTTAAAATTTAGTTTTGTACGGCCTGGTATGGTAATACACACCTTTAACCTTAGCAATCAGGCAGAGACAAGTGGATTTCTGAATTCCAGGATGGCCTGGTTTATATAGAATTCAAGGCCAGCCAGAGCTATATACCGAGACTCTATTTCAAACAAGACAAAACAGCAGCAACAATGAAACCACAGGGCTAGAGAGATGGCTCAGAGGTTAAAAGCACTTACTCTTTCAGAGGACCAGAATTTGAAACTTAGCACCGATATTGGATGGCTCACAACCATGTGAAACTCTAGGTACCCAATGCTTTCTTCTGCCTCTGAAGACATCCATGCATCTCTCTCTCCTTCCCTCCTGCATCCCCTCCCTCCTTCTCTCTGACACACACATACATAAAAATAATAAATCTTTTAAAAATAGCTTAATTTGGCAATTACAATGACATGTATGTGTCTCTAAAGCAAATCTACAAACCCAGATGTATTCACTGAAGTCTAGTGTCTGCTCCTGTCTCTTCACCCCTTTTACACCCTCTGACTAATAACATAATCAAAAACAATATAGTTATCTTTGGTTTAAAGGTGTGTGTCACCATCTCCTGGTATTGTTTTTAGTATATATAATTTATATATGAAATATAAATAGGATATCTCATATGTAAAAACACAAAATTACTGGGCATGATAACACATACCTGTAACTTTAGAACTTGGGAGATAGAAGCAGGAGTTCAAGGCCAGCCTCAGCTAAATGAAACTCAGTCTCCAGAAGAAATAAAGCCAAACAAACAAACAAGCTTCATAAGCTCCTGGCTCCATATAAACAAGATATAAATTATCTGGGCATGGTGTCACACACCTGTAATTGCATCCCACTGAGGCAAAGGAGCATGAGTTTTAGACTAGCCTAGGTTATACAGTGACATCCTGTCTTTAAAACATTAAATTAAGGAAAAGTATAAAAGTGAAAAGAATATAAATTGTCTGGGTCTGGAGGCACAGGCATGTTTTCCCAGGCTGACCCAGAGGCTAATACCAGGAGATCACAACTTCAGGGCCTATCCTGTGTGAAAGTCAAAGGTAAAAGGAGGGCTTGGATTGTAGCCCAGGGGTAGAACACTTACTGAGCATGTGTGAGGTACCAGTACACTCCATCAAACCCATATACATACATACCTACATATACACATACATACATGCATACATACATATGTGTATCCACCCATACATACATACATATACATACATAAACATGTTTAGAAATAGATTTGTTTTTTTGTTTTCCTAAACAGGGTTTCTCTGTGTAGCCCTGGCTGTCCTGGAACTTGCTCTGTAGACCAACCTGACCTCGAACTCAGAGATTTGCCCACTTCTGCCTCCCAAGGGCTGGAATTAAAGGTGTGCACCACCACTGCCTGGCCCAGAAATAGATCTTAGACACAGAATGTCTTCTTGTTTCTTATGGCTATGCAGTGTTCTATGGCACCAGAATCCTTCCTTCAACCAGAGCCCTGCAGATTGAAGTTTGAGGCTTATAGGTTGTTGCCACTCTGGTCTGCACCACAATGTTCACCCTAAAACATTTGCTTGTCACTTTCTCACTGCCTGTGGCTGATTCCCGGATAAGGGGTTTTTGGGGTCAAATGATAATTACAGCCCTCATTTTGCTCAGCATGGCCAAGTGCCCCCACTGGGGTTTGTAACATCTTAGCAATCAATGAGTCATACCAGATGTCTCTCTGAGATTGTCTCAGACTCCTGGACTTGTGCCCGTGTGAGGGAACAGTCATGGTGCTGCAGAGAATTGGTGATTTGTATCTGTCTTTTCTCGATTGTGCTGGGGACCATTTTCATATCTGTAGCAGCCCATGTAACACATCTTCTTCTGCTTCCATTTCTATCATCAGCCACATCTTGCTCAACCTCAGAGGAAGTGGCTCAGAGAGCTGGTGACCCGGGTAGAGGAAAGGGTGCTGTGAGAACCCTCAGCTCTGTGTTTCTCAAGATGGCTGCCTCAGTTGTCTGTGATACTGATTAAGCCAACCTCTGGCCCATCCAAGACACGTTACCTTAGTCTACCCAAGCAAAAGGCTGATGTCCTGATGGGAGAGATAGAAAAGTCCCTCACAGAGGGACCAGCCCCTCTTAGCTAGTGTCAAGCTTCTGGGTGGTGACCATTCCACTTGGAGCAGAGTGACATGTTCACTACCCACAACCCTCATGAGCTGGCTTGGTTTTGTTTTTGTTTTTCAAGACACCATTTCTCTGTGTCGCCCTGGCTGTCCTGGAACTCACTCTAGACCAGGCTGGTCTCGAACTCTCAGAGATCTACCTGTCTCTGCCTCCGGAGTGCCGTGATTAAAGGCATGCGCCACCACCCCTCGGACTGAGCTGGAATTTTTCCTCTAGTCTGAGATCTCTGCCACAGTTCAGGACCTGTAGGCTTTCTTCCAGCAGCCTGTCGGGATTCTGGATTAAGGGGGTAACTAGAGGGGCCCTCAGACTAGAGGTGGGTTGAGTGGGGAAAACTCTGCCAGAAAGGTATGACGTGTTCATGAAACTCCCTTGAGACAGTGGGTGGTTAGAGGGTTGTGGTGGGAGACAGCATCCCCAGCAGTGGGGCTCATGTGAGGTCAGAAGTCAGCCTTCCAGTCAGAGAAAGGGGAAGGAGGACAGAGAGTGTGAATAAGCAATTCAAAGGGCGACGAGGCTCTGAAGAGGCAGGAACCCTTCGGCCTGGAGAGCACCCAAGGTCCTATCCCACTGTCCCGGAGGGAGTCCCAGATGAGTGTGCGGCAGCACTGAAACTGAGCGGCACTTTGGGAGGGCCCATCTGGAGCAGAAGAGCGCTGCCTGAGGTGAGTGCGTCCTTAGGGTCTCGGAGCTGGCACCTGCCCGCAGCCAGCTGTAGGTTTGGTTCAGAAGGTGAGGATACTTTAGTTGTCTTTAGGACCCAGTTGACATAAACTGTCTGTGGGCATCAAGGGACGTGTGGCCAGGAGGCTCCTGGAAGGAAGGATAGCAGCCATGGGTCTCGCAGGACATGGATTCACTGCTGGAGGCGGGTGCTGGGCTCCTACAGAAGAGGGATGAGTGAGGCAGGAAGGACAGTGGATGCCACAGCAGCCACTCAGAACCCCCTCCACAACTCAGGAATACCTCAGGACTTACTTAGAACTCTTGAAAGCTCCCCCCAGAGACCCTCTCAGGATGTCCACAAAACCCTCTTGGGACTACTTCAGGGCCCTCTCGGACCTCCTCAGGATCCTCTAGAACTCGAGTGCCTCAGAATCTCTTCCGGATTCTATCAGGATGTCCTCAGGACCCTTCCATATGAATCCCCTCAACTCTCTTAAAGCCTCCTCAAAACCCCTTTAGCTTCCTCAGGGCTCTCTAAGAGTCTGATTCAAGATTCTTCGAGGGTTCTTTAAGCCCTCACCATGTCTCTCAACCATCCTCTGGGAGCTTATTCCGAACAAAGCTTACAACCCCCTGCCCTATGGAAATCCTACCAGTAGAGGACCACGGAACTAGGATGGGCAGAGGCCAGAGCTGCCCACTGCAGAGATGGCCCTGTGCAACAGCTCCACGTGCTGTTTAAGACGGAAGAGAGGCCGTTTAGAAGACGGGGAGGCTGATGTGGGCAAGGCCACTCAGCCACACCAGGGCTGTTGTCATTGTGCCTGGGAATACACTAACTGGTCGCAGGTGGAGGAAGAGGTCCAGCTTCTGGGAGCAGAAGGGGCTTTCAGCATCACCCAGGAAAGGCAGCCAAGGAGCGGCAGAGTCAGAGCCGTCCTGGGGAGAGTGGGAGGGTATGGCTTCATCAGAGAGCCAGGGACTTTACCCGAGGACTGTAGGGCCCTGCGGTCTCAGACAGGACAACTAGAGCATGGCCCCAGTACCTTCCCTGGAACTAAGATGGGTTCTTTCTGTCTTGGCCACATTTTTGTTGAAATGATGGTTATTAAATAATTTAAATAATTAAATTAGTCTGAGTGGAAAACACAAGCCTGTCTGTGTGGCATGGCTGGTACCTAAGAGGGCTGAGTGAATCCAGGCCCAGCCAGGCCCTGCTCTCTCAGCTCCCCACCCCCACGCTTGTCTCAAACCATAGCTTTGTGGAAGGCATTGCATGAGAGGGTGGCCCAGATCTCAGAGGCACTTTTGTTTAGGAAAAGATATACAAAGTGACTGCTGCTTAATCCATCCCCCTCCAGTTGCCTCCCACTCAGAGGAAGCTTTGGCCTCCCTTTCCTCAAAACAAATCTCTTTCTATGGTCTGGGTTCTTGGTGCCTTACCAGGAAGTTGGAGGAGCCTGAGGGGGTTTCTTTGTTCAGGAAGGCCAGGAGAGGCTGGGATGCAATCATCAAGGGGCTATGTAGGGCAAGACTCAGATTGAAGGGACCCTACAACAAAGTTACTGGCCTCGTGGCAACATGCCTTTCAACTGCTTGGCCACCTTTCCTAGATAACTGGAGGACTTTTCCATTCACAAACCGTCTCACAGCTGCACACTCGTTTCTAAACCCATGGAGATTTTCAAATGCACAGAAAAGTGGGGGGGGGGGGGTAAGGCAGAGCTACTAGTGTCCCAGTCGCTCGTCCCCACAGGGCCACTCTGTCACATCTGCTTAGTGAAGACCCCACTCCACCCAGTCTTACTCTACCAGGGACTTTCAGGAGGATCGCAGATCCCGACACTACGTCAGACACTTGAGTGTGTGTCGCTAGCAGACAAGTTTTGTGAGGATTAGTCCCAGGCAAAAGTCTGGGCTGTGTCAAAGGCTGCCTCACAAGGCCTACAGAGGCAGGGACCCAGAGAGTAGCTTTTCCCAGTTTCTGGGGTTGGAGGTAAGAGCCACAGCCTGGTGTTTAACTGTGGTCTTGTGGGGATCACCCTGCAGAGGAGAATAACAGCGGGCGGGTCAGAACCATCCAGGGGATCACTGTGGCTTGGGACTTGCCCAGTAGTCCCAGCGGAGAGTGGGAGAACCGGACTAAAAGGAGTCATGGAGGCCGGGCTGCAGAGGGGTTGCTGAGTCCAAGGGGGGAGGAGGAGTGGAGGGAGCAAGGGTGTGCCCAGGGTACCTCCTGGAGACTCCTGGGATCCACACCAGGATGAATGTCAGGGGCTTCCAAACAGCAGGGAAGATTCTGGTGGGAGTTTACTGAGGAGGTGCAAAGCTTCGGGTCCTGAGATGGTGAGGGCTTCAGTTCGAGCGGAGCTCAAGGGTGTGCAAAGCTTCCGGTCCTGAGATGGTGAGGGGCTTCAGCTCCAGCGGAGCTCAAGGGCATTATCCTCTCTGTCACCTTGTTGTCCTGTGAAGTGGGGATATGACCTGTGGAGGAAAGCGAGGTGGCCTTGCCAGGACTGGTGTTGGAAGGACCTGGTGTGAGAGCAGAATGGGAAGCAAGAGAGGCTGAACCATCCAGGGCCAATGGCTGAGCGGGGTCGGAGACCCTCCGTGTTGTCTTTCTGCTCTGTAGCCACCCCTTGTGGATTCTAGTTAGTAAACCCGTTAGAAGCAGGGTCATGTATTCGCTGGCTCTGGGCCAGCCAGTGGGGGAGGGGGTCATGTATTTGCTGGCTCTGGGCCAGCCAGTGAGGGAGGGGGTCATGTATTCGCTGGCTCTGGGCCAGCCAGTGGGGGAGGGGTGTTCCCAGGAAGATGTTATTTCCAGACCTGGTCTGTGAAGAGGGAAGCGAAAGTGCCAACAGAAAACTGGGAGATAATCACATCCTCTCTGCTAGCCCTACCTTGCACAGCCAGGGTTAAGGACACAGAGGATCCTGCCTTCTAATCCTGTCATCTGTGTGTGGCCACATGGTCACTAGATGATGCATGGCACTTAAGAGGGCCCTGAAGCAAATAGACTGGAGGCGCTGTCTCTGGAAGACCAATGCCGCGCTATCTGTGTAGATCAGTGGCAGCACTGTAGACAAAGACAGGGTCACCCTTGGTGTTCTTTTTGCCTTAGGCACTACTAGGTCAGCCTGGGGAGGTGGATGGAAGGTGAGGCTCTATCCAACTTCTGACTCAGGTTCGAGAGGTGGCCACGGTACCCTGAATCCTCAAGGGGAGGGCGTTGGACTCCAACTGCCTGCAGGCCTGAGCACCTGTCTTAGTTTGGGTTCTTTGCAGTGAAGAGACATTGTGACCACAACAACTCTTATAAAAGGAACCATGTAATTGGGGGCTGGCTTACAGTTTCAGGGGGGTCAGTCCATTATCACCATGATAGGGAACATGGCAGTATGCTTGGTGCTGGGACAGTAGCTGAGAGCTCCTGAACGAGAGAGAGAGAGAGAGAGAGAGAGAGAGAGAGAGAGAGAGAGAGGGGGGGGGGGGGGGGGGGGGGGGGGGGGGGGGGGGAGGCTGGCCTGGTGTGGGCTTAAGCAGTTCAGCATATAAGAAGGTGAGGGCTTCCAAGTCAGGCCCTCGTTGGGGCAGACAGGCCTCAGGGTGGGGCAGGCAGGCCTCAGGGAGGGAGGGCTACCCAGTAGCAGAGGCTGGTATTGCCCAGAGGCACCAGTAAGTCTCCTGCAGCTGTGGTCCTGAGGCTGCCCAGCAGGGACAGTGTGGACATGGCCAGGACCCTGGAGCCTGACCAGCAATGTCCAGGTCTCTGAGACCAGGGATCTAAATCCCCTGAGAAAAGGGCTGGGCGTCCCCATAGGGCAGCCTGGGTAGTAGCTTAGGGTATAAGTGGATTGGTGGGGTGTGGAGACAGGGCTGAGGGCAACTTGTGCCCTGTGCAGGAGAAGATGGCGGCTTACAGCCACGTGTTGGGCATCTTCCCGGGACACGTTACCCTCTAGATCACCAGGCTGCTGCTGAGGAGAAGCTCAGTGGGGAGGGAGGAGAGGCCTTGATGCGGCCGCCCTGCCTATCTATCCGGGAGGTAAGCAAGTCCTGGAGTGGTGCCCTGCTGTGTGAGCCAGTCCACCTAACAGTAGGGAACCAAGCCTCTACCCAGCAGCGCCGTCTTAGATGCTCTAGCCAGAGGCTGAAACTTGGGAGACTGAGGGTGGAAACTCAGTTCAGTACACAGGCAGACAGTTCTCCTGGAAGCACCTTGGCCCCAGGTGGGATTCTGCACACCAGGCTCTTGGGACCAAGGTTAGGGCCTCGGCTGTGCCTGTGGTAACCGTGAAAGAGAGTAGTTGAGAGCAAACTTCCCCTATGGGCAGGGAGCTCAGCCTGACAGACACAGACTAGGGTGTGGGTCCCAAACCTGCTGTCGACTGTGACGCCCTAGTCAGTAGATTTCCTCCTCTGCATCTCCATCCCAACCTCTGGGCGATGGGGAGGGGTGGAACCGAGGCTCTCCCTAGCCCCTTGCCGGTTTTGAAGACAGAAACGCTGTCTGTGATCAGAAGCTGTGGGACTCGTGTGGAAAAGGTCCCCAGACTTTGGGTGGTTGGGACTGGGAAGGTGATCTGAAAGAAATGTGGCCTCGGGAAAGACCCCACGCTCTGAGTGAAGATGTTCGTAGCAAAGAAAGCCTCTCGAGGCCTACAGGTGTAAAGGGATATTCCGGGCTAAGAGAATGAGCCCTGGAAAGGTTTCTAGAGTAGCCTGTCTGGATTTGTCTGTGGGCTGACTGAGTCATGCCTGCCTCTGTCCTATACACATGCTGACTGGATCATCCGTCAGATAGGGATGTGGGACATTACTGTCCAACACATCTTCATGAGCATGGGAGAGAGGGAACATTGCTGCCCTCTGGCCAGGGAACAGGCTATAGGGTGCCATTTCGTGACCACAGATTCTGTGGGGGCCCTGCCGGGTCATGATAAAAAAGGATGAAGTGAGTTGACGAAGAGGAAGCTTCCAAGGGTGGGGTTGAGCAATTGGGTTTAACCATTTCAAGATGTTTCTAGAACAAACGCTTTCTTTGCTGTTTCTCTGTAGGTGTCGTCAGAAGTGGCAGGTACCAGCTTCCCTTCCAGAAATCCCCAGTTTTTTAACCCAGCCTCAGGACTGGGAAAGCAGTGCAGGCAGTGGGGGCGGGGAGCTGCCACCTCTCTGTTGATGTCGTCAATAAGCCCCACAGCCTACTCAGCTTACAGGCAGGCTGCTTGAGACACACAGTCTGCTGTGAGGCTGGCCGTCCTCAGCCCCCCCGCGAGAAACAGGTGTGTGACCTGATGTAGCTGGGGCTTCCTCGTGGGGCAGAACTGGATGGGACTTATCACATTTGGTGAGGCCAGGCTGGAGTCTTTGGAATGAATGAGGCTGGGCTGGGATCTGTCAGATGGGTGAGGCGGGGTGGCGGTGCTTTGTCAGATGAGGGGGACTAGGCTGGGGTTCATGGGGGAAGGTGAGGGTGGGGCTGAGCTGGGGCGTGGGTCTGGCAGTTAGGTGGGGTTTGGCTGGGGTCTGGCAGAGGGGTGAGATTTGGCTGGGGTCTGGCAGATAGGTATAGCCCAGTCCCAACTGTGCTGGGGATGCGGGTTCTCAGGGTAGGCTTCTCGAGGGAGCCCGCAGAAGCGCTCACACTCAGGACCAGTGCACTCTTCTCCATAGGGGTTGAGGTGGGGCGGGGATGTCATGAACAGTAAGTGCACAGTAACTCGGGCTGTTTCTGGGTGTTGGTGCCTTCCTCATCTGAGACTCCCAAGTCTGTTCTGTAGGTGGTGTTTTGCACTTGAAAGCTAGAAAACAACTGTTTGTGCCTTTGAGAGGAGCAGCGAGCTTTCAGCTGCCTGCCTCTGTGAGACCTGGGGCATTTCCGTAGGGGTCCAGGCTCCAGCGCCTGTGGTTTCAGAGCCTCTGCAGGATTCATCTGATAGTGCCTTGTTCCTGCCCCCAGACCTCAGCCAGTGGGTGGGGCTGGGCCTGCCTGATTATGAGCAGACAAGCACTCGGGGGTCTGTGGGTCCCCAACCAGACATCAGGATGGGTAAGGGAGCAGGCTCCGGTGGGCTTAGCTTTCCATCTGCCTCCATAGACTTCTTTCCTGGATGGTCAGTACTGAAGCCATAGGACAGCCTTCTGCCTGTCCTGTGCATAAGGGAGCTTGATCTTGCCCACAAAAGTGAAAGAAAGGGCCTGTGCTGTGCACAGCTGGCTCCCTTTCTCATGCCAGCTCCATAGTTTACCTCGGCTAGGCAGTTACTCGCCTGAAAGCACCGTTTCTCCAACCCGGCAGCCCCTGGCAGCTTCTCCGGACCAAGCTCTGAGCATCCTGACACTGGCTGTGGGAAGGATGCCAAGTGCCTGCTGAGGGCGACCCGCCTGCTGCTCTGAGGCAACTGGGAGTGTCTGACTTCAGTTCCCTGCGCTCTACCAAGGCAAGGCTAGGACTTGCTGGCTGTCACTGGGCTCTGGGATTTTGCAGGGAGGTATCCTGAGGGAGCAGTGTTCCATGAGCTGTGTGTGCACCCTAACTTCTTGGAACTTTTGAATCCCTCTTCCTTAGGGTTCTTAGCAGTGACCCCACATCTCACACTCACAGGTTTCAGGTGGCAGAGAAGCCAGGCTGCCCCTTCCATGCCCAGAGGCAGAGAGTAAGAGTGTGTGGGTGTGGGACTGCATTTTCAGGTGAAGGGGGCTCTGCTGGGAGCCCAGCCGCTGGCAGCATGGAGCCCTTCCCCACAGGCAGCCCAGGACCCAGTCCATCCAGCTCCTGATGCTGCTATTGGACACTGAACACATGCCAGGGATGTGTTCTGCTGGAGGCACCCCAGGTTGCGTCTGGGTGAGTGTCTCCAGGAATGCAAGGCAGACAGGAAGGGCCATCTAGTCATCTGTGCTGGGGGGGAGGGGGGCTCTGGGGACTTCCTCAGAGCTCAGCCCGGCTCAGGGTCCCTCCAGGATCTTCAGAAACCTGGGTTGTATGAAAAAATCCAACCAAACAGAAGCTAACAGAAAGAGCAGAGCAGGGCCCACGAAACTGTGATTGCTGGCATTCAGCCCGTTCTGATCGGGCAGGTATAGAATCTAAACACAAAATATGATGGCAGAATATCCAGCTCGGCTGGAGTCTGTGCCTGACTTCTCTAATGGACTGTGTGCCTGCAAGTTCCCTGGAGACCAAAGAGGAAATGAGCCCTGCCTCGATCTAGCGTGCATTAACCTCCCTGTCTGCAATCCCAGGTCTGAGTGCTTGTCCATTTCCGTTGTGGGGAAGGTTGATGATGCCTTCCATGTCTCCAAGGCAGATAGTCAGCTAGGGCCTGACTCTCCCTGGAGAATACAGTTCCTCGGGCCTGACTCTCCCTGGAGAATACAGTTCCTCCTCTCCTGTCGTCTTCCCCTGTAGAAAATCCTAAACTTATGACTCACCCAATCCTGCAGCCCTTCCTGGCCTTGGTACCCAGCAAGGAACAAGGGAGTGGGCCAGGCATCCAGTGTGCCTGGGCTCAGCACTTGCTGGCACTTCCTTGAGTTAGTTTCCTCCCATTGCCGTGCCACCTGCCTCGCCCTAGGTGTTAGACCACTGCCCAAGCTACCTAGGTGGGGCTTGATGGGATTGGTAACTCCCCTGGGCCTCACTGTAGAGAGGAGACAGGGCAGTAAAGGGCCAGAGCGGACAATGGAGGGTGGCGTTGGGGATGTTCCCGACAATGGCAATGGCCTAGGCCTCTGGTCACGTCCAGGTCCTGGAGGTACAGGGCTATGACCTCTGGGAACTGTGTACCTCTGAGGTCAAGGTGGACACCCCGATCTCAGACCATGAGCCTGGAATGGGTCCTTGGGATGATACAGGACTGGTGGTGGTTTGCCTCAGAAGTTTCCACAGCTTTCCAGGGGTGATCTCGGTTCTGTGTACCCTCTATTGTCATGTGCTTCAGAGGCAGACCAGACAGAGTGGGTGCTGATTGTATCTGTGAATCAAGTGTAGGTGTCTTCTCACAGTCAGAGCCCAGCCTGGGGATCCTTGTACCCATAGGTGGGGCTGCTCTGACTCCTCCCTGCTGAGAGCTGCTTGCTGAAGGAGGCTGGTGGGCATTGAGCTCTAGAGAGTTGGAGCTTCCTGGATAGGACCTGTGGACCCTCCTCCTACCTCCTCTCCCCTGCAACAGGCTGGCCCAAGGAGAGGAGGGCCAGGGAGATGGGAGGAGTCTTCTGTCTCTGGCTTTGGACTGGTCACTGCAACATTAGGTCTTCCTCCATCTCTGGAGACTTTGGTCTCCCTGCCTGTCCAGTGAGAAAAGGTTAGGCCTTGAGGGTGACTTTGAGATTTCTACAGTTTCTATGGTTTCTTTGGAAAGGGGACTTTCACAGTGTGGTGCCTGCTTGCTCCCAGAATTCCTGCACAGAGGTGGGCAGACCCTGGGACAGGGGCAGGGCCTTATCCTGGGGCTCCTCCTTCTACCTACCCTCACTGACTTCCTGACTCTCCTGCAGCTCCAGGACCATGAATGCAACTTGCAACAGCGACAACCTGTGGCCTAATGCGCTCTACTACGTCTTTGGCGTCTACTTGGTCTTGCTGCTGGTGCTGGGCCTGCTGCTCAACGGCCTGGCGCTCTGGGTGTTCTGCTGTCGCATGCGCCAGTGGACGGAGACCCGCGTCTACATGACCAACCTGGCTGTGGCTGACCTCTGCCTGCTCTGTTCCCTGCCATTCGTGCTACACTCCCTGAAACACACTTCAGATACACCAGTCTGCCAGCTCTCACAGGGCATCTACCTGGCCAACAGATACATGAGCATTAGCTTGGTCACTGTCATTGCCGTGGACCGCTACGTGGCAGTGCGGCATCCCATACGCGCCCGTGAGCTGCGGTCCCCAAGGAAGGCTGCCGCAGTGTGTCTGGCCCTCTGGGTGGTGGTGCTCTCTTCCCTGGTAGTGCGCTGGCACCTGGGGCTGCAGGAGGGTGGCTTCTGCTTCAGGAACTATGGCCGGCACGGTTTCAGCACTATTGCCTTCTCACTGCTGGGCTTCTACCTGCCCCTGGCCATCGTGGTCTTCTGCTCTTTGCAGGTTGTGACCGCGCTGGGGCAGAGGCCGGCCACTGATGTGGTGCAGGTAGAGGTCACCCGCAGGGCCACCCACATGATCTGGGCCAACTTGGCAGTGTTTATCATCTGCTTCCTGCCACTGCATGTGGTCCTGACAGTGAAGTTCTCCCTGGGTCTGAGCACCTGTGCTGCCCACTTCACCTTTAGCCGTGCCCTGTCCATCACAGGCAAGCTCTCAGATGCCAACTGCTGCCTGGATGCCATCTGTTACTACTACATGGCCAAGGAGTTCCAGGATGCATCCATGTCAGCCCTGTCCTCCAGTACTCCCCACAAGAGCCAAGATTCTCAGAGCTTGACCCTCACCTAGAAGCAAGCATGCGCCATGGACCAGAGGAACCTGTGATATTATCAAGGAGCCCCCAAATCATCCTGAACCTGACGTGGGTTTTGAACACTCTAGGAAGCTCAGGCGGCCTAGAGAGATTGTATCTGCTCCCCTGAAGAGACCAGAGGACTGAGACTAAAGACCAACTTGAAGGACCCTGGAACCTGCCACCTTGGACCTAGAACCCCCGAGGCACCAGAATGGGGCCTTGATGGCCAGCCACTGGGTTTAGAACAGAGCTCTCCCCTGGACACACCTGACAGGGCCCTCGGTGTCACCCAGATGCAAGTGGTGAGATGTTAAGAAGAAACAAAGAGCTCAAAGAGCCAGGAGATCTCTTCTGAGAGGACCGTCTAATGGCTGCCTCCTCTAGAGACCTCCAGACTTCATGCTTCCTGTAGGGGTAGGCAGGAGGGCAGTGGCTGTGGTCTAGAAGGTTGTCCTCTATGGCACATGGCTGTCAGTGTTGCTCAGGCTCCGTATTTGGGGGGTTCCAGTTCAGGAGACTTCTTGGTCATAAAGCAATGCTCAACATAGTAGCACGCTGCTGTTGAAGCCCTGAGCCTCTTGGTGATGTTTCCATTTTATAGTAGGCCTGTTGATCATAGGGTCAAAGGCTGTGGTGGTAGTCTGCTGGAGTTTGTTGTTAGGAAGATTGACATTTGGCCTGGTACCTGCACTCTCTGGGGATGTGGCCTGTAAGGATCGGCTTCAAAGCCAGCTCAGGGGCTGGAGAGATGGCTCAGAAGTTAAGAGCACCAGCTGTTCTTCCAGAGGTCCTGAGTTCAATTCCTAGCAACCACATGGTGGCTCACAACCATCTATAATGAGATCTGGCGCCCTCTCCTGGTATGCAGGCAGAACACTATATTCATAAATAAACCTTAAAAACTAGCAAATTAACAAACAAACCAAAGCCAGCTCAGAGCCAGAGCACATTTGGAGGTGTTCATAGTTCTGGCCTTTCTCCCTTTGAGCTTTATCTTTTGTCTTGATCCAAATGCTGCAGCCAGAGCCCCACCAACTGGGAGTTCCTCTCCAGACTCCAGACTCCCACTTCATCCTGCTCTTATTGGTACCTCTTTTGTATGACCTTTTCTGCAGAAACCAAACGTCTGTTTGCCCTCCAGACACCAAAGAAAAAATTCTACCCAAATCCAGACAAGTGAACCAGTTTTCTGGAGTCACTTACCAAAGCTTGGTGACTCCATCACTGAGAAGCCTCACTCAGTGTGGGTGACAACTCACAAAAACAGCACCACTAGATGACCAATCCCTAGGAAATGTCCACCTCGTATAGACCTGGATACCCGCTCCAGACAAGATGCAGATGGGGGTCAGGGGGAGTGGTGGCTGGAACCTCAGGGCTGCTGACCCTCATGTCCCTGTAAAAGGGAATGCTAACAGCTTCAGGACCAACATCAGTCTGTTTTCCACAGTAATTTTGCTAATTTCATTGCCACGACTGTGGGCCAAGGTCTTCAGTGAATCATAGCAGCAGTGTTCTTGCTCATGGCTGATGATCATGCTAAGCTAGAGGAAATGGCTTTCCTACCACACTTGACCGCTCTTCCTTCAGCTCCCCTTTCCACACTCTGCAATATTCTCCGAACCTTTGCCTTGGAAGGTATGATGTATCCATATATATCTATATATAAATATATAATATACATGTGTGTGACTGTGATTCTTTTCTGAGTATTATGCCTCTAGACTATAAGAACAGACACTTTCTCTAAATGGCCTGACCACAGTAGAAGAAACAAAGGCTCAGGAGAGAAAGAAATAGATCATTTGGGCCCCCCCCCCCAGCATCTCCTAGTGTGTAGCAGTAGGCTCCCTGCCCACAACACCAGCAGAGCACCTACCTTTATGAAGATAGCCCTCTACCTTCCTCATCCTCTTTGTAACCACAGTTTTTAGGACATCCCATGCTCCCATAGGCTAGACTTGATCAACTGTCAGGATGCTGAAGAAATGAATGGGAAGTGAAGGACAGTATCTTCACACAGAAGCTTCAAAGTTAGCATGCTAAAAAAAATATGAAGCGGCAGTGAGAAGCCTCATCTGGTGGAGGTGCTTTCAATCAAGTCTGACATTCTGAGTTCACACCCTGGAACCAGCACAACCACAAGTTGTGCTGTGGCCCCACACATACGATAGATAGATAGATAGATAGATAGATAGATAGATAGATAGATAGATAGATAGATAGATAGATAACAGATAAAAATAGCATAGTAGGAAACCCTGTAGGCAAAGAGGAAGATTGAACCCCATACCTACCACTACTGACCAAGGCCAGCTAGAACTGGTGAGAGCCATTGGAGTGGGTGCTGGGACACTCGAGAGCATCTGAATATGACCTCTGACTTGTTAAAAACTGCATGTGACAGAGCATTCGTGAGAAAGCTTATGCTACACAAATAACTTCCCCAAAGCACTCTGTGTGTACTGGTTGGTTTTGTTTTGTTTTGTCAAGATAAGCTAGAGTCATTTGAAAATAAGGAACTGCAATAGAGAAAATGTTTCTGTAGGACTGGCCTGTAGGCAACCCTGTTTTCTTAATGATTAAGTGATGTGGGTTCTATTCATAATAGCCAGAAACTGGAAACAACCTAGATATCCCTAAACAGAAGGATCAATAAAGAAAATGTGGTTCTTTTAAACAATGGAGTAAAAGCACTCATCCATTTAAAAAAAAATACATCATGAAATTCACAAATAATAGATAAAACTAGAGAAAAATCATCCTAAGTGAGATATCCCAAACCTGGAAAGTCAAAATTGGTATTTGCTTATCTGTGGGTATTAGCTGTTAAGTCAATGATCAAGCTACAGCCTGTAGAACTACAGAGAGTGGGTATAGAGTAGGGGTCAACAGCTAGATCCATTGAGAAGAGAAACAGACTAGTTATGAATGGACAGAGGTACTGGAATGGGAGAATCAAGTGGGGAGGGGGATAAGAGGAGGATAAGGGAAAGAATGTGGAGAGAGACAGCTAAAACTCAGGGCAATTTGAGAGCAGTATTGAAACCTAATACAGTAGAAGCTCCCTAAAATATATACAAAATATGAAGGTGATTTAAATTAAATCACCAAATAATGGGGAAGACAGAGTCCCAACAGGCCATCTCTTGTCTCTAAATAAAGTTTCCAGGGCAGGGATTGGGTTACATCTAATTGAGTTGTTGGCCAAAGGGGTGCCATGGGACTCCCCGAACAACCCAGGCTATTGCCAGGACTGTAAGTTGCTCTCCACTAACTGACAGCAAGGCCTCAATACCTACAGAACTCATTGAACATGGAGAAGTTGAGTTGCTGTCTACAGAGGCATCCACCCCTACGTCTGGCATCTTTGGTAGGGGAAGATACTCTGCACACCACCAAAAGAGAAACACAAACCCCAAGTCAGCCACAACCTTTTGATCTACAATGGTGTCCTGTAGTGTGCAGAGATACGCTAGGGCAATGGTGGCACAAAGCTTGTGGGAGTCACCAACCAATATCTGATTTGGCATAAGGCCCACTCCACGAGATGGAACCCATACCTTTCATTGCTTGGGTGACCAATAACCAGAGACTAGATAGCCTGGGGTATGTATTTGTCCAGGTTAAAACCAAATACTAATGTTCTAACAACAACAACAAGACAGCAATACAATGACTTCTAATGATATTCTGCTATGCTTACAGAGCAGTACCTTGCTCAGCCATTAACAGAGAATCTTTCTTCTGCAGCAAATGGGAACCAATACAGAGACCCACAAACAGACATTATGCAGAGAGTGAAAGACCTTGAAACACTCAGTCCTAAATGGGATGTCTCTATCAAATCTCTCTTCTTAGGACTCAGAGAATCCTGAGGAAAAAAAGAGGCAGGAAGAGTGTAAAAGTCAGAGGGGATGGAGGATACCAAGAAAGCAAGGCCCTCTAAATCAGCATGATCAAATGAATAAGAATTCACAGAGACCGAGGCAGCATGCATGGGGCTTGTGTGTGTATACACAGGTCCTTTGTGTATCTATTACGGCTTTCAGTTTAGTGTTTTTATGGGATTCCTGAGTGTGCAAACGAGTGGATCTCAGAGTCTTGTGCATTCTCTTAGGCTCTTTTCCTTCTGTTTGTCTTGTCCAACTCTGAGGTGACAGTTTCTGTTTTATCTGATTATATTTTATTTTGTTATATTTTATTGTCCCTTTGAAGCCTGTTCACTCTCTAATGAGAGACAGAAAGGGGTTAGCTCTGGATAGGAGGGCGGTGAGAAGGAACAGGGGTGGGGGTATTTATTTTCAATAAAAGGAAAAAATGGCCTGTAGGCAAGCCTGTTTTCTTAATGAATGATTGATGCAGAGGGCCTGGCGCGCTATATATAGTGCTACCCCTGAGCAGGTGGTTCTGGGGTATAGAAGAAAGCAAGCCAAGCAAGCCGTGGAGAGCAGGCCACTGACTTTCCTCAGAGTATGGCCTGAGGGCTATGAGATGAAATGCACCTTCTCCCCAGAAGGGTTTTGATTGTGGTGTTTTATTACAGCAATAGAAACCCCAGCGGGGACTCGATGCAAATGACCCCAAAAGCCCATGTGTGCCATCTCTGTTTGAGTTCCCCAACTTCCTCTGTGTACCAGCCTGTTTTGCGTCTTTTGGAAGTGGATCATTTCTGAATAAATTCTCTTGCTCTGCTTGCTGCTATCCACATGTCTCTGTCCAACTCCTTGTTTGGGAGACCTGGAACCCCTTCAGAAATGCTGTTGAACTCAGTAACATTTTGGCAAGCCATCCAAGGGGCAAGTCTTATGTGTCTAACCTCTTTGAATATGTTATTCATCCTAGAGGTATCTGAGAGGAGCTACCCCAACTGTGGGTATGGGTTGAGGAATTACATGCTACACCTGAAGACTCCCGTGACAGGATACTGTCATTGTGAGCCGCGGTTATGCGCCAGGACGCTGTGAAACCACAGCAGCTTCCTGCTAAGAGTCGTAACTTGAAAGGAGCCTAAAATGGCTACCATTCTCTCTCTCCTCTACTTTGAGGAGACAAAAAGGACAAAAACGAAGGTGCGTTTGAACCCTCACTCTCTAACAATAAATTTGAACCCTCACTCTCTAACAGTAAGACCTTGACTGCTTGGAGCCTAAACCAGCCGCTAGTCAAGCGACCACAGCCTAACTCCTAACGAAGAAGGCTGACCCCCTCATACTGAATGGCTTGTCTCTGGAGGGGCAAACAGCATCACAAATGTACCTATCCAAGAAGATACTGAGTTGCCCTCTTCTGAGCAATTTGCATATAATCTCCACACAATGCCCAAGAGGCAAGGCCAAGTCACTTTCTTAACTGCTGTAAAGGGACCCAGTTCCTCCTGGGGTTAGGTGGTAATTATCTCTTGAGAATTTCCTCATTGTGATGGACTCCCTGGTGTCCCTCCTTCACTGCAATTCATGTGTCAGTTCTGCTTTTAGTAAAAAACCTTTGTTCCTTGGGCTCCTCCTTTTCAGAATATTTTGGCAGCCTCCTGGGGGGGGGGGAAGCTCACCCCTTGCCTTGATTCTTTAGACACTAATGTTTGTGGTGGCCAACTCAGCTGTTCACATGTAATTGTAGACCTGTGTCTGGGTCTTCAGCGGTGTGGAAGCTTCTGCACTGTGACTCTGGCCCGCTATCACCCACCAAGGTATTAGCTAAAAAGTTACTTTGACTCCCTGTGGAAAGTTTTTCTTCTTCTTTACAATTCACAGATCCTGAGTGCTTTGGCAGAACCTGAAGCAGGTCAAGCCATTGTAGTCTGTAAGGCCAAGGACTACTTTTTTTTTCCTTCTAAAAGTTCTCTCACCCGAAATTTGCGGAACAGGGTCAATGGCATCCAGCTAGAGCAGTGGCTGTCAACCTGCCCAATGCTGTGACCCTTTAGTACAGTTCCTCATGTTGTGGTGACCCCCAGCCATAAAATTATTTCTATTGTTACTTCACAACTACAATTTTGCTACTGTTATGAATCGTGATGTAAATATCTATGTTTTCTGATGGTCTTAGGTGACCCCCGTGAAAGGGTTGTTCAATCCCCAAAGGGATTTCAACCCACAAATTGAGAACCACCTCTCTAGAGTGAGGTGGTTTTGAGGACCCATTCATTTCTCTCTCCTGTTGGTCCTTTCCTCACCCCGGCACTTGCCCCACCCTTCAGAACAGAAGGGAGCAGAATGGCGGAGGTGTCTGAGCCTGCTGTCTCCTTCCCAGCCAAACTGGTTGACTTCTGGCTTCACCAGGGTTTAATTTCTCCAGGATAGCGAGAGTCCCTCCCCTCACCGCAGCTATGTGGACAAGTACACTTTGTGATTGTTCCTTTGAGGTTGATCCAGCCTGATCAACTAGAAGGTTTGACACTGGAGTGAAATTGGGTTTTACCTCCTTGACGGAGTGTCGGCATTCAGTTTTGCATGGGTTCATACTAAAACCTCTTATCTGAAACTTCCCCATCAAGGAAACAAATGCCAAAGCAATTCTCAGTAGCTAGGCCTCTTGGTTATCCAAGTTTTCTCACAGCCAACTTTCCAGAGGCCTTAAACCCTTCAGGAAGAACTCAGATAAGATTCAAACTCTTCAAACAAAAGGTCGTGATCACAAAAGTTAAAGGTTGCAAAGGTAACAGTTGCGGAAAGGTAAGAGTCTTAAAAGGTAACAGTCACAAAAGGTAACAGTCATGAAAGATAACAGTACCAAAAAGTAACTGTCACAAAAGGTAACACAGTAGCAAAAGGTAACAGCCATAAAAGATAACAGTAGTAAAAGATAACAGTCACAAAAGGTAATCCAAAACCCAGGTGCTAACTCTGGAATTCAAGCCAGCTTCAATGCTCTGTAGGCTCTCCAGCTACAGGGGAAGGCCCTTTTCTCCTTGGGGGATACCCAGGAAGAAGACATGCCCTCTGAGTTAGTGTGCACAGATCAACCCACTGCTGTAAGGGATTCAGGGTCTGCGCTCATCATCTGGTAAGACCCATGTTGGTCTCATGATTGCCATCTCCTCCACAGGCACTAGAACCAAAATAACACATCCCATTGTCTTTTTTTGCAATTCACATGGAAGGAATGTACAGGTCAGAGGAGGGGGAGAGAGGGGCAAGAAGGCAGGGCCTAATCTTGGACCAGACTGTGTGGGAACACAGCAGAGGGCAGGGACCTTTTGCACATCACATCTGCATTCTGTTATATGCTAAGGCACATATACAGTGCAGTATATCCTTAGAACTGCTCTGTTTGAGCCTCAGACTCTCAAGTTATTTTCCCTTGTAACAAATTGATTCTTTATATCCACTCTTAGACCAAGAATGCTACTAGCCTAATGTCTCATTAAGCTATAACTGGGTCTTGCAATTAGACCTCTTTTTCTCATAATTTCAAAAGACTGTAAGACTCCCATGTCCAAACCTTCATGGCCTTGTCACAGAGATGTCATGTCCTGTGGGAGGGATTTTATGTCTCACCAGATTCTCTTACATCAGCTCCTTTCCCAGAGGACGAGCGTCACAATCCATCCAGCTACACTTCCACTTAGCAGCTCTGATCCCACATA